TTAGTACACAAGCTTTTAAAAGCTGAAGTTGCGTTATAACGCTTGGAGTGGCAAATAGATGCGTAGCACCAAACCCTCGCCATCTCTCGGAGGTGCAATGGAATTGCCTGGAGGGCAACTCGCTCTTCCCGCTCCGTCAGGACCTGTACACAAAAATTTCATTAATAACAATCTATTATGCATTATGATTTACATGTAATTTGTAATTTTGACGCACGACGTAATCGATCAGTTTATGATCGAACAATCGAAAAATTGCCTCCGCAATTTCCAAATCGCCGGGATGCAAAGGCATGGTGCCCTGTGAGAATAAAACATTATGCATTCTATTTAATATTTTTATGTGCAAATAGTGAAGTTATATAATCAGAATCCACAGTCCAACTATGAAACAGCATTTATTTATTGATTAACAATTTTTAGTGAGATACAAGTCTCTTGAGGCATCTTAACGTGAATCAGTCACGTAGAACAATTTAAAAATAATCAGTAACTTATTCTAATATAATGTTTACATAATTTTTAACTATTTTAACTCTAACATAATTCTAAAGACAACTTCAATTAAACTAGGTAATCCCAAATAATGCTACAACTTAAAATACATTTAAATAATTCCAAATAGTTCTAAACACTTAAAATATATTCTTAAAAATTCTAAGGAGCATCTGTAAAATAATTCTAAACCTATTCTAATGCGCTTCGGTAAATATTGTTAATTTGCCAAATTTGTGCCGTACAGAAGTTGAAATTTCTCGCATCTTTTGAAACCTATTTCCATGATCAAATAAGCGAATTTTCAAAAAATGCATCGAAATTCGAGAAATGAGATCAGACAAATGACTAGTTTCAGTTAATGGATCAAAGTCAATTACGTGATGCGTCAGATGTGGGAAAATTGTGGTTTCTAAGCATCGTGCAGTAACCATCATAGAAATCCTACGGTCTAGGTTAGATACCTTCATTAAACCACCAGAAGTTTTGCAAATTTGCCGATAACATGCATCAGTCAGCTCAACTATACGGAAAACGGAATGACAAGGGGTGAATAAGCCTCCGCGATCCTTAGCCTCGATTAGCTTAGCAAAGTGAGAAGGAAGAAGATCAGCGTCTGTGTTAAGAAGTGATTCGGCACAAATCTCACACTTCAACTTCGTCCCAACTACTCTGACCACATTCCTGCTAATATAAGCTAGACAATTCCTATAAAAATCTGAATAATGTGGATCAGAGAGGGCGCTAAGATCTATAATGTCCAACGCATCAATGTCATCCATATCGAGCACCTTCAGTTTCCGAACACGTTTGAGAGGCAACATACCACCAGGAACTTCACCTTCGTCAATCTGCGCAATGCAGTTACCCGTGTTGGTGGACTTGAGGAGATTTTGGTGCCAGATGGATTTCATAATGTTCCTAAACTCGACCACAGTTGGATTGTTGTTATTACCTAATCTTCCCCTCACGGTATTAAAAAAAAGTTCTAAAGGATCTTGGCAAAACCGATACGTCAGCACGAATTTGAAAGGATTAAACTCTCTGATCAGAAGAGCTTTGCTAATAGCAATGACTGACTTGATGGATATCATCATTCCTAATGCAGCCCGTCTTGAATCACTATCTATCAGCCTTTTCTCGTACACCGCACGTTTACCTGACCTCTTATACTCTCTAATTCCCACGTATTTCATTCCGTACACAGTCCTACAGAATTCGTTTAAGATGGAAGTCATATGGTCAAAGTTAAAAATATTTATTGGTGACTTGTCTCCTCTCTGACCACAGTTCCTCGAGTTTAAAATATCGAAAGTCGTGTCTAATAACTGCAATAACTGAAATATGTAGTTCCTTGAGATCCTCTAAAATCTTGCAAATCTAACGAGTCTCTGCAAAATGAAATAGCATCAACTACAGATCTGCTAAGACTTTGGACAGCTAGTTTTACGTTCATTTTATGATTTATAAAATCCACATGATACCTGCCTAGTTTATTGGCTGCTCGAATTTTCTCAACTGTCTGGAGTTCGAAAAGAGCTTCAACAAATCCCCAAGAGACACAACGACCATCCTCCAATGAGATACGACCACCTTTTTCGAAAGAGCGACCCATCAAATTGCGCCATAATTTCATCATATGAACTACGTCATACATTGCGTATACGCTTTTAGAAGGATTGGCAGGATTTGGAAAACTGCAAGGAAAGTCACCATCGATTTCGAAAGAAGCCCCTTGTATTATGCTATCAGATACGCCATACCCTTCAAACAGTGATACGTTAGACGTGCAGCCATCAGAAATTAGCGCCCAAACATTAAATTGCTGCTCCTCCAGTAACACAAAAGCTTTATGCAGAAATGCCCTCTGAGTCTCCCCATTAACTTTATCCGTGTATATGTACCCTATCGGACATTTCCAGCCACCAGATATCCCAGCAATCATGCATACTAAAACATTGCTAGCCAATTGAGGGTTTTCAGGCTCATCAATGTCAGAAGTGCCGTAATCAACGAAGCCAACATAGCAATGCTTAGATGAATCCCAAACTAAAGCTTTCCTTATAGCCATTTCGTCTATGATCATTACTACATCTGTCATGACATTATTTGTGTCAGAAAGTCTAGCCTCGCCTAATCGAGAGATAACGTCTAAATTATACCCCGGGCCACAATCTGAGGATTTCATCCAGGAAGCAATAGTTGATGGGTGCGGCAAAGTTAAGTAGTGACGCAAAAAACGATACGCTTTGGGAGAGTGATAATGAAGTGTAGCCGAGAATTTTTTTATCTCCTCATCATACTCCATTCCACTCTTTCCTTTAATACTAAAGGCTCGTTTTTCATTTTCTACGATATGGAAAAGTAACTCAGGAAACCTAGCATCCAAAGTATCTACCTGCCGATTACTTAATGCTTTAAGGCTTTCTAGACTATCCATGTGAGTCGACTGAGCACGATCTCGACGTTCAAGTTTAAGCTCTAATTGATGATACTTAACTCTAAGGTCTGCCAGTTGTTTTTTTACAGCTTTAAGTTCGTCTGCTGCCTGTCCTGGAGATGCGCAATAACTATGCTCGTTCCTAACAGCTCGCCTTGACTTTGGGGTGACAGTAATAAATGAGGGTGATGAGACTTGCAATGAAACGTCTGATGAAGGGTGGTCGACATCTTCTAGATCATGAAAAAGGCGCTTTCTGGACTTACTAGGGGGAAGATTTGGTTCACCAGGTTGGAGCTGATCCGTGGCACAATGTCCCTGAAGTTTCCCATCGATCTCAGTCACAGAAAATGTGTTGGCACATGAAGGGCAAGAGATGGTTCCAATGGACTTAGCTGTTGATGGTGTGACCTCCATCGGTTCTTCTGGAACTTGTGGGACGTCCAATTGCATTCCGGTAGAATTTACATCGGCTGCTAGTCAAACAAATTATTAGGAGAGGGTGATCGAAAGCAATGCTAAAGTTCTCGCCAAGTGACTTACTCATTGTAGCATCGTGAAGAAAGAGAGTTGGGACAGGTTGTCCTCTGAGCCTACGTCGAATACCGACCGTATATTATTCTTCTGTTAGGAAGTGACGACTACATATCCTGGACTCACGAGTAGGTTCCCACGCCTCATCATTTCTAAGGTTTCGAATTATGGTGATCCAGTTAATTCGCATTTTCTGATGCATGGCCGAATTTGGGAATCTGTTAATTTATAGTTTTGTAATATTTAACTAATTTCATTAAAATGGAGTTCAGGTTGGACTTACAAATGCCATGATAAATCTATCTCCCGATTCCGATCGACCACCTTACAAGAAGGTACAACGCAAGTGCGCTGTTTGTTCACACAGGCCATTGTTCACGTTGGACCTATGATTTAGACGTTTAAGATTTATGAAACTTATTTGTTTATTCAACTACATTCGCGTAAAATTAGAGATTGTATCCTACTTTGGTCTAAAAAGACTTCGGAATTTTAATTACAATTCGATCTTATTTTTCCAAAATGGGTGATAATGCTTACTTTCGGTGCCAATGAATTTGTAGCGTAAAATAATAGAAATGGCTTCATGAAATTAAATTACGGTTGAAACGTAGGTAAAATTAGTCTTAGCTGGGCTTAAAGTCAATATGCACCTTGGTAACCATGGTAACCTAGCACTGAATTCGGCCCCTGCTCCGTAAGACCGGCCGTATCCTAGCTCGCTTGCGATGCAATCAATCCATTACAGTGTACAGAAAAGACTCTAGTTTTTACTCATTGAAAACTGTTTTAAACTAAATTTTAAAAACGTAAAATCGCACCGTACTGAATGGACAACCTCGACTTTCCTTCCACTTACAAATGCACACCATCAAATAATAAATATTCAAATAAATGTACGCAATGAATCAATTCAATATGAAAAAAATATAAAAAATTACCTATGTACTTACTGTGTACTGCTGCGATGGCCAGATACACTTTTTTCAGTATTTCAAAATATAATTTGCAATTATTTGCGAGACTTTTATATTGTAAACAAGTGATGATGATGATGGATTTGATGATGATGATATGAGAGGAGCTACTACTTATGGCCTGTCTCCGCGAGAGGCCTCACCTTCATTCACTTTTATTTCATCTCCAAATTGACTATGGTGTTACGAGGCATTGATCCCTCCTCTGTAAGTTCGTGGATAGTTTTCAGTCCTGGTTTAGGATTCAACACCAATGTAAATAATTTTACAGAATTTGCATAATTAAATTGGTGTAACCTAGCCAAAAATCCCCTTCAAGGCTTCCAAACCCATCCTCATAGTCAATCCAAAATCTTTCAAAATTGGTCCTCTCCATCCCTGGTGGGGTTGGGGTTCCCCTTCGCTGAATTAGGACCCACTCCTTGTCACAGATTATCTATTTGCAAAGATATCTGCTAGTTAATATTTATTCACTAATCTCGTAAGTACATATATATGTAACAAAAAAATTCAGCACAAACACAAGATACATATAATTAATATATTACCCGTTTATTCCCAAACATTGAATCAGTTAGATTGTTGTCATAGCTGAAGGACGTAGTTGTTTCTTTGTTAAAGTCTGGGTAAGTCTGGTAGATATTTCGATCATAAGGAATTGTGCTTTTGAATTAAACTTCTTCACCCAGCCGATATTATGATAAGCTCGCTGCCCTCTTACATTGTTGATATAGAACTTCAAATTTTCAACCTCCATCAAGATGGTGGCTACCCCTTCAGATAAGTTGGAGCTGGTGTTCCTTATCTCCTCCAAAGTTGTGACCTGGTCCCTTTGAAGGGTTAAACTCTGTTTCATTTCTGGTGATATCAGCGGGAAAGTCACGTGCCCATGTTAAGTAAATGGACACATGACTTTCCCGCTGATATCACCAGAAATGAAACAGAGTTTAAAAGTTCCTCGACATATTTGCAGCTGTGGTTAAAAGAAGACTGGAAAACATAAACAGGCGTCAATTACTGCGCTGAAGTTTTGATAACAAAAGCTCCTAGTTCCTCAAATTAAAGTCGAGATTTTAAAATCAGGTGCGTTTGAATTTAAGCGATAACAATTGCTATCGCTTAAATTGCAAACAATCTATAGCAATATAATTGTTTGCAATATAAGACCATGTTTCCAGATATACCTATAAGGTCGATTAATATAAATTGGAATAAATGTTAGTAAATACAAAATTACGGCCACCTTTCGAACTTCGCATGCTGGTATGTGCGACCGGTAATCAGCTTCGTCTGGAACCTAAAATATTGAAGAGTTATTTGCAATTAAACTTCTGGGGACCCCAATTAGATACAAACTTGTAACTTCTTCTAGTTGCAAGAGTTACAAATATCCATTTAAGTGGCACCCAAATATGTCGTCATAAAAACACAGAATTTCACACTCGCACATTCCGCATCGTACTCGTACTGAGTTTAACACTAGCAGAATAGTTGACTTCGTGATAACATAAAAATATATGGAGGTTCTCATAATAAAGCTTAATATTAATGTGAATTAAAAATTTACGCACGTCCATTGATCCTTGGCTTTTATGGTTTTTAGTTTCTTCCTTGTGATTGCTGCCGTCCTGCTTGCCGGACCTGCCCAGATTTTTAATCTCAATTTGCAGACTTTCCAAATGCTGTGAAAATCTAGTCTCCATGGCGGCAAGGTCATCCTTCGTAGGCATGTTTGACAACTGCACGGTCAACTGGATAAGGAACGAAATTATGTTATCTTGAGTAAAATTTGAAATGGAAAATTATATTCTCACGCGTTCCAAAATATTATTCACGTTGCTTCGAAACAGTTCTTCCTCACTAGGATCTGCCCCTTCCACCTGAAACAATAAAACACGTGTCCAGTCAAAACGGTGAGCATGAAAGGGTTGTGTTAATGCACATGCCACTTGATAAATTTTGCGATCGTAATTAATAAATAAAATGAAGCTGGAAAACCGAATATGGCTTTCAATTTTAATATATAATTCGTCTATTTCTGTTTTTTTTACTTAAAAAGTTCATGAAATATGTAAATCTTATTTTATTCGTTGTTTATTCAACTCACCAAGTTACAAGATTTTAGCCAACCTCCTAAAAATATTAGGAGGATAAAATACGACGCAGACTCCATCATTGAGAAATTAGTAATGTCCAACTGGAAAAAATTGGTCTCGTATTTATGGCTTACTTAATTGACACATTGTCTGGTTTAAGTCTTACTTGGGAATGGTGAGTAAATCCGCTCTGTTTGGAAACTAATCCTTGCACACTAAATAATCATACCTTACTTTAATAATAATTTTTATTGACAGCATAATATGTACGTGTTCAGATCTGTAGGAAGTAAATATCTCTGAACATCGCAGTTTACACTAGTATTCAGATTATGAAATCTCGTATATTATTACACTGTCATAAATATACTGGTAATGAACTAATTACCGAAAAGCACAAGTATATAATTCTACCAAAGTGGTAGTGATAAGTTATACCGTGTGGTAATTGCTTGGTAATAAAGTTTTACCATCAATTTTTACTACCTGGTGAAATATTATTACCAAATTTATTACCGAGAAATCATTCCCTGCGTGACTTTACCGGATTATTAAGAGTGTTGGTATGTATGCATGCCTCAGCGAAGTGTTTAAGTGGTGCGTCACTCATTTCCCGTTGAGTTTACCAGTTGTGCATGGAATCGTATCCCGTGTACAAAGATGAATCTTCTTACTTCTCGGCATAAATATGCATGAACAAGATTACTGCAAACTTTATTAAGTGACTGATTGACTTATTGTTTATTAAGTTTTTATTAAGTTGATAAATGCATAGTTGATACATAAATCAAAGTTCTTGGTAATATAATAAATATGCTGGAATGCAGGCTTAGGTATGTATGTACCTATGTACTTTTGATGCAAGTGGCTTATGTAACTTTACGTCCAATTCATTCCAGACTTTTTTGTTGATAAACATGTGCAGAATATTTTTGCATGTATTAACACATGTATGTATACGAATTTTTATATAAGCAAATTACTTTGATGCATGTACATACACTGCTGAAAATCTGGTGTAGTCATTAATTTCTCGGAATTATATATAATTCCTATTAAAATTATACCAGTCCGTAAAAAATTGCTACCGATATGATAAAAGTTTAACGGAGAAGTGTTACTACAAGGTATTGCTTACATATCAACACCACTTTGGTAGGGTCGTATATGTATGAATACCGCTTGGTATTATTTTAATACCGTATTTCTTAGAGTGTATGAGTAAAGCAAGTAAAGTGTATATGTATTAGATTATTAGATACATAAATACTTACTCAATGGAAATATATAAATTGAGCGAAATTATTTTTCATTAGGCGAGATGTCCATGCAAAAAATTTGCGATTGTACATAATCTCATAAAAATGTGCACTTTTTTAAATAGATAAATAAATCGCCTTGGTTTGGTACATGAGTTTTTCATTTTTGTTCGCTGAAATCCGCTTCTTAATCAGTACTCAAGAATAGTACTAGATAAATACAGAGTGATTTAAATGTCAGGTTACTATGGAAAATTTGGCAATGGGAAAAATTCGCAAATCTCCATTTTTTAGTTATCGAAATTTTGCCTCTGAAATTCAATATTTTAATAATTTTGTCCTCAGTGTTCCATAAGTTTTGATAAAAATTAATAAAAATCTCAATCCCAAATCCATAACTAATGGAAATTTACGAATTTTTTCAATTGTAACCTGACATTTAAACCACCCTGTATAATTAGTACCCCGGGGAGGTTATTTGTCTGAACCTTATTTATAGTGTTATCCAAAATGTGATAAGAAATTCTAAAAAATGACAATCTACTAAAATTGATGCTTTGAATAGAAATTTAAAAAAATACGTATGTAAATAAAATAATATGCCAAATGACGCAACCTAAAAATCTCTCACGAACAGGATGTGAAGAACATTAAGAGTATTTTTTATTAAAACGAGACACAATTTAATTTCGTAGGTCTTTTATTAAAAAATTAATTAATGGCTTGATAGATATTTAATTGCTGGTTTTGTTTCAGTTCTTGCTCACGGATGACGTAATTTATAATTGAAAATGGAAATGAGACGATGTTTGTTTTGCAAGTCTGGAAAAGGTTGGGAAATTAAATTAAGTGGAGAGAGTTGAATTTTGTGAGTCCTTGTTTGTTATCCAGGCAGGTTAGGTTGGCAATTCTGGAAATAAAATTTAAAAATGTGGGGTAAAGGTTAACGAATATTTTGCATTTACATATATGTATGTAGAATGACGACAACTAGAAAAGTTAGCATGTCAACATAATTTGCCAAGTTTTGCTAAAATTTGGCAAAACTTTTTACATGAGTTAAACCGTAATAAGCGATTTGCTATTTAATCAGAAATCTTAATTTGGGAAGGTTATTTTTCAAATTATATTTTGAATTGAACAAAGTGACGTCGACAAATGCTAAGGTGAGCATGTCAATAAAAATTGAAATTTTTGCTAATTTTTTTTTGCTGGAGTTTCTGCGTAATTTGCGACTAGCTGAACATGATTAATTTGGAAAGGTTATTTCGCATGTTGATTTTCTGAATTGTTCACTCATGATAAATGGGACAATTATTTACTAACTGATGTCATGCCATTGTTTAAAATTTCACAAAAATGTGTCCAGTTACAAAACATGACGTGGACAAATACAGGCTTGTAAATAAACCTTAACTTACAGCTTTCTCCGCGAAATTACCAAAAACGGTCTGCATGCACATGGTGAAATCTCCATAGCTTTCGCAAAATGGTTGAGCAGGATCGAGTTTGGAGGCTACAAGGAGGATTAAAATAATCTTGAAAATGTGCATATTTTACAGTTTTTAACATTTCACATATCCAAATTTGACAAGGGTGCAAATTTTAGAAATGTTCAAACTTTGCGAATGCACAAATTTTACAAACGTACAAATTTAAAGATTGTCGCCATTTCACAAATTTGAAAGTTTTACGAATTTTGCAAATGTGCAATAATTACTAATGTGCAAATTTTACCAATGTGCAACTATTACTCATTTGCAAATTTTACAAATGCGCAACTTTTACCAACGTGCAAATTTTACCGTGTTCATTGACGCAATCCTCTGCGAGAAAGTGGCCCAGATCGTGCGCTTCTTCCGGAATGTCCATCGTGGTCATGAAGTTCTGAACCGTGGCTGTACTCACCATGCTGCTGTTGTCCATCTGGAGTAAAATGTATACGTAATCTTCACGTCAGTTGGTGTAAACCGGACAATTTTTTGTGACCAACTTTACAACTAGATTTGCATGTAAAACTTAAGGACTGAATAGATCCAAGAAACTTTAGAAGGTTTACAAAGTAACGGTGTGTACTATGCGTAAACTGTGTAAATTTTCAACTAATTGATTTGATATGAATCTGCAAATAAGTAGCTTGGTCACTTTGTCAAATTGATAAAATAATTTTAAAAAACATTTACATTATAAATTGAAACTCACAAAAACTTACAAAAATTGTCCATTGAATTTTGCTCCAAAAATTATGTAGATTTTTTTAATTTTGTGAGTTTACGAAATTTGTAGATTTCCAACTTTATTTATATCGGTTGCAAAAATTGTTTCTGCAATTTTGTAAAAACAAATGTTTCACTTACCAAGCCAATCTTTCCCATGACACATTTTACGATGCACTAAACAGAATAAAATTATAAAAAATTTTAAAATTTTTAGAATTTTAAAATTTCTTTAAGTAACAAATAAAATCAATTATAACACTTGGAAATCTTACGCTCATTTTCTTTTCAAAGTCTTCCTTCGTGCTTTCAGCCTTAACCTCTTTCGTACAGTTGTTAAAAAGTTTCATCATTTTCTTCATAATTCGCCCCATGACTTTCTTGCAGTCGAATTTGTCCTCAAGTTTTTCGCCCTGTTGAAAGAATTGTTTTCCGTAATACGATTATTCATTACCGGCGCAGGTAAACACTATACAATTTAACCGCATGGTAATACTAAATGTATTAACAAGGTTATCTTCTGAGGGGAACAAATTGCCCCCCGGTATCAGTAATATTTTTATTACTAGATCGTTGACATTGGGGGCAGAGCAGGATTTAGGCTCTGTATACATTTATGTTATCCTTCGGTGATAAATGGTTCTCAAGTGGGTAACATTTCACTACACCTCCGCCGGTAACAATCGTATTATAAAATTATTTAAAGTGACATGCGTCATTTGTGAGTGTGGGGTAAATTATTTGCATGAATTATTTGCATAATGGAAATAATGGACAGGTTATGTATGTAGAGGTAAGGGTCATTTTAAATTCTGTAAGATGATAAGCACATCATTGCAGTATTTAGAGGAATAATAAGGGGCCATTCATAAATTGTGCAGCACGAACTGGTACATAATTCGGTATTTTTTTCAATTTTGATGGATTTTTAGAAATCGCTCTAATTATCATTTTGTAATCAGACAAAATTACCCATCCGAAAATTATTCATATTCCACCGACAAATCTGTTACTAACCTCGGGACGTGCATTGCATTGTTGGTGAAGAGCGAGGAAAACTAGACACGTGGCAGCCAAGGCGAGAACGACCTGCTTCTTGAAAACCATGATGTTTTATATTTCTGGAAAGAAAATAAATTTGTGACAAAAATGCCTTGTATGAGTCTAAATTTCAATAATCTGCCACTTTGCAGGCCAATGTGTAAAATTAATCTGCAATTTTAAAAGGGCAATAGATTTTCAATGACGGCAAGGATTTCGCTGTACAAAAGCAATTTACACAGTTCTTGAAGATGTTTTAATCTTATAAAAAATCAGTTACACAAATACAAACAAATTTTGCAGTCTTTTTGAAATCCAAATTTTACAATTATATTTACTGTGATATTTTGAAATTTAGCTAAATGAAAATTTCATTTGGGGTATGCATTACGAGTTGGCAACATAATTTATTTTCAATTTTCGAACTACGTTTGTCTGTCAAAATTCTAGCTTTTGAGATACAACAAGTTCGCGAATGAATTTCCGAGCTTAATTTTTTGCGAAATTTGCACTTTTTACCTAGCAATGCGAACTCGTAATGAAAACCTTCATTATTTAACAGTATTGACGTCTTTAATAAATGTCGGGGCAAATTAGGTGAAAATTTACCTTTTATTAACCGATCTCCTTTGTAATTTTCCAATTTTATAGAGGCAGCCTTATTTCACGGTGTGATTGTTGACGTGTTCACCAGCGTCATAAAAGTGGAAGTCGTATCGTCGCAAATAATGAAATTTATATCGAAAATAGAAATCAGTCAGTCAAAGCGATTACGCATTTTTCTCTCCGCGACCGGAACTTGATTCCACAGGGAAGGAAATGAGAGCACGTGTACCGTAAAAATGTAATTATGGGGGTTGTGACACTTTTTTGCAAATTCCGTAAAAACAGTGCGATTTAATTTCAAGGGGAGTTAATATGTAGTGGTTTGTCATCCATTTCATTTTGTGTGAACAGGTGGAAAAAATGGTGTAAAAGTAGTTATTAAATAACAGAAGCTATTCTAAACTTATGTAATTTTGGGTTGCCAGAATTGAAGTTCATGTACAGTAAGTGACGAAATTAGTAGGTAGTTAGGGGCCTTTCATGAATTACGTGGCGCAGAAATCGTGATTTTCTAGACCTCTCCCCCGTTTATGCATGGGAGTCTTAAACCATCTATATCTTCTCGCGTTAAATAATTTATGTATGAAAGGCCCCTTAATAAGTTTATTAGCTATGAACGTAGTCATCGAAACTTTGCTGGGGGTGAGATAAGCCCTGGATGGAATTTAGCTTGCATAATGGTCACATAATTTTTTTATTGATGTAAAAAAATATGTAAATATGTGCACCGTTTTTAAGAAATGTTGGAAAGAGTAGTGGAATTTGTAGGGAAGTTCAAATATTTTTTTTTACATAATTCATTTTCTCGGTTTTTTAAATATGGCACGGATTAAGTTATTATCACGCGAAGTCCTATACATATGAAGGGGCAGGTATCAGCCTTACAGTTAAATATAGCAGCCAAAAAGTAGATATATATTTTAAAGAATACACATACATATTTTAACATTTTTTTTATTAATTGCATGATGCATGCGATTTGCTTGAATAACGTTCATCAAATTTTTTGGCATTTACGCAAATGTGAAAATTTACAGTCGATACATATTTCATTAGGCTTTAGCTCGTGTCCTTGGAGGAGTGAGCCTGCTACATAAATATAAATTTGTGTTGGAATTATGTACATAGATTGATTAGACTTAAATTTACGTAATTTATACTTGGACGAAATGTATATGTATCGCATTTGCAGATAAAGTAAATTAATAAATTAGTTAAATTAGTAAATTAATATGTACATAAGTAAACTATGTAAATGTACGAAATCCAGAATAACGCAAACTCAAATAAGTTGTATGTACGAATTTAAATATTTATCATTTTGCAAACGTTGGAACGTCTGAAATGACCAGGTTTTCCACCGAGTTGACCAAAGAGTCCCATGGACACGCCAAAAGTTGTGGCATTCGACGCATCAGAGCTTTTTCGACGCCGATGTGCGCACCCTTCTCGTAATAATCTTGCCTAATTCCAAATTCACCGGGTACATTGACAAATGTGTGAATCAAGAAGGGCAAAGTTTCCGGTGTTGAAGCAGGGAAATTCGAACCACCCGTTTTTGGAAACCCAGGTTTTTCAAGGGTGGCAAATTTTTTACAGCATTCTCTTTGCTGTTGTACGAAGGGTGTCCCATTTCCGGGAAAAGGTGGTTCATGATTGACACGTCTTTCACCACTTTTCATTTGAAGGAGGTGCAAATGTTGGTGCATTTTGTCGACTTGATCGTCCGTCATGTTTAAGGGGAGGCCTTGATGGAGATGGCTGATTTCCGTGATTGAGGCAAGTTGTGAGAGTAACTGTTCAAGTAGGAAATGAAGTTATTTAAGAAAGGATACGCTCTTAAATATTAAAGTTATTCATGGACAAAAAAATCAAAATTGCAACTAGGGGATTCAACACCGGTTTTTTAAAACCGGAAAAACCGGAGAAAAACCGGTTTTCGGTGACACCGAAAACCGGTTTTACAAATTCTAAAAACCGGATTTTCTAAAAAATAGTAAATTTTTAAACGTTATTAGTTTTCGAGTTTTGACGCTATTTAAACAAAATTGATAACAATCATGCCTAAAAATAAGGCCTGTAATTATTTTGAAAAACTATTTAATAATTTTTAACAGGGTTTTGCTAGTTTTTTGGGTTTTACACAATTTAAGAAGTTGCAAGAAGAATCACCAAAATGAAAAGCAATGAATTTGAAAAACTACATAAATTATTAACAGGGAATCGTGGGTTCGTATCCCACCGTGATAACACTTTGTAACCTCTTAGCGATTCAGTATTTCATTCATAAATTAATACTAGAAACTTTGAATTTCTATTTACGTAAATTATATTTCTAATAAATTTCGAACGTAGGTATGTATATACGTGCAAAAATCTAGGAAGTTGTAGAATTTTAACAACTTAAAGTTTGGTTGAAAATTGTATGAATGCGTATTTTGAAAAGTCATCCATGTGTACAAATACATATATACGTGCATTTAAGAAAATGTTTATCTTGTCCATGAATAGATAAAAATTTCTCCGGTCGAAATCTAGTGCAAATGTTACAGTAAGTATGTAGCTCGTATAGGCATTCGCCAAAAATGCGCAACCTTGCAAATGGGTTAAAATCTGAAAAATGACACAATGATCTCTTTTTTTATCTCATTTCCTACAAATGTAGTATTTTCAGATCGAAGTACGTGCTTTCGTATAATTTTTCGAATAAAACAAGGCTTCGGTTTAGGTTACATATTTAAAATTAATTAGCATCTTCATATTATGTTAATAGATTATCCATTAATTTTGGATATATTTCCTCAAATAATTAGAGAAGATGTATTTTTGAATTATTTTGACATTTTTCGTGAATCTATCTGTTAGGCCATTGTTTTTAAGGTTAGGGCTTTTAAACCTACGATACCCACATACTCAATTTTTCTACCCGTCTAGTGCACAAAACATTATATTGGAAAAACGGTGAAAAACCGGGTTTTCACCGGTTTTGGTGTGTGGAAAACCGGAAAAACCGAAAACCGATTTTTTATGTATTAAAATCCTTATTTTGTAAGAAAAAATTGACAGGTTTTTAAATCACCATTTGAAGAAACTGAAGAAGGGAAAGTTGAGACACACAAATTCAAAATCGAAATTCGTATGTAGGGGAACGTTAAATAATATGAATGAAGCGTTTTGTAAAAACTATACTCGTAATGCACAAATAAATTTCGAAATTGGTTTTTAAAATTTAAAAAAATCAGGAACTTATCTTTGCAGAAACTTACCCTGGGAAAGAGCAACCTTCCCTTGGCCCTTCCTTGCGTTGAGGTTAAGTATTTCTCCAATAATGAAGTATACAATTCCTGTGCCGAATTTATTGCATGTGTGTCATCAAAATCTGTGCAATTCTCATTTCCACCGGAGTCCGAGAACAATGCGAGTGGGATGAGGAGCATGATGCTCGTCTCGTCCGGGGCTATGCTTCGGATCCTTTTGTACAGGTTGAAATACATTTCCGCCACGTGCTTCGGAATTACGGAGATAAATTCGTCTTCCTGCTCAAATTTGAAATAAATATGTACGAATTTTTTCAACTCTACGATGTGAAGTTCAATACTCTGATTTGGTTGAAACTACGGAATTACGAAATTCAAAATTTGAATTTTATACAGGAAATTTAAAATTTGAAATGCAGAACATTTACTGAAAAGACAAGACAAATTTAATACCAAAAATGGTCAGGGCTTATCCATATATTACGTCATCAAAAATTCTCGATTTTATCACCCACCCACCAAACGTAAACATTAAGGGATAGGGAATTTTAACATGGGAAAGATAGGAAGAGCAAAACCACCCACCCACTAAAATGATGACGTAATATATGGACGTTCCCTCACCGAGTTGTGATTAATCTGCATTATTTGTTTTTTAAGCGAAATATATAAATTGAAAGCTAAAGTTACCGTGAGGACGGGAAATTTTTCAGGAAATTTGTCCGTGTACGAACCAACCCTGCAGTTTTCGATGTCATAGGTTATCAAAGCTCGCAAAAATAACATTTCCAGGACTGATCGCCTCAATAAGTTTGATTGATCGTGCAAACTTAGATTCGCAAATTCGGGCAGCATTCTGGCAAAACAGACGAACCTGAAGATACAAAAACCATAATTTCACATAATTGGATGCAGATTAAGAATTTTTCTAATTACAATTATTCTCACTATCTAATTCGCTAATTGAGAATATAATTAATCCCAAAACATATTTTTACGCACTAATCTTTAATCCACCTTAAAAGCGTGTTTAGATTATTAATTTGTTACCATGATTAGAAGTACCTAAGTTGTTCGCATTTATTAAATGCAGACAAAAATTACATTAATCCCTAATCTAGAAGGATTAATTAATCCTTAATCCCAAAGTCAAGAGTATCTTGAATTAATCCTTAATTCTTAATCCCATCAAGTTGAATTATTTAATTAATCCTGGATTAATCTAAGCCCGGAATAACATTAATCCTTAATCCCACAACAATTGAGTAATCTCATATCTCTGATGTTTCCTCACCTCCTAATCGCCGTAGACAATCGGCCAATATCGATCAAAGATATTTTTGTACAGGTCAAGACTTCGTTTTCTGCCCGTGTTAGAAAAGTGTACGGAATTAATTCGCACGCAGATTGATAAAATTTGGATAAATTTTCAATTTTTTGGGTTTCCTCATCACTTAATATTTTGGTCTTTTGGTCAAATAAAACATTTGCGTGATCGTTTTTTTGCTTAATTTCTTGTGCTTTTTCGTATTGCCGCCACACCCATGCGGGCGACATCCCGATACTGACGCATTTAAAGAATCGACACGGTTTGCACTTTTTTCTCGTAAGTTTGTCAACTACGCATTTTTTTGCAAATTTGCAATTTCCCCCGAGATGTTGGAAGCACGTGGGATCCGGGACTTTGTGGAGGACGTAATAGTGGAAAAAAGACCGGCAAGAATTGCACGAAATGCCGCCGTAATTTTGCGCTTTTGCTTTGTCCCCGCACACACCGCAGGGCTGAAAGGAAATCAAAATTGAAAACATGTTTTTTTTCATAAATTTATTAATCAGTGAAATTTTTACCATGTTTGTCCTAAAAATTCGTCCCTCGAGCTTTTTCGATTTTCTGGGTGCCCTTTTCTTCACTTTGGACTCAGGGAGAGATTTTAGTTCGATGTTATCTTGAACTTTTAGCATTGTGAAAATTTATGAATGCGTAATTAAATTAAGCTTACAAATAAGTAATTAATTTCGTATAATTTTGTGAAATTAAGCTTACAAAAGAATAATTGTATTTGGTGGACATTGTGTATGTATGAAGCGAACAGATCGAACTGTGATAAGCTTATTAATTTCGTGCTTATCATATTGGCAGCTGGGTTTGAGACCTTGGGCGAGCGTACATACATACACTCTTTGAAAATTTGCATTAAATTATTACTGGTCTGAGGAGGGGAGCTTCACCACCTGCCCTTCACAGATCTCGATGCCCTTTGGATATGTGGTAGTGTCCTATGAGTGTACTAAAACCCTGAAGTGGTTTGACTCCATGGCCACAGTTCCGCCCGCCACACCCACGCAAAGGGGCCAAAAACACGAAAAAAGCCCTGTTTTCTCTTGTTCAAACCCTCGCCAAAAATCCAATTTTGCTCGGATTTTGGCAAAATTGACATTTTTGTGATCCCAAATACTTGTGTGATAATATCCAATAGATATCTCAACTTTTTTGAAATTTTGAATTTTTTCGAATAATTCATCAGCCCGAAAATGCCCGAAAATTTCGAAAATTTCAAAAAAGTTGAGATTGCTACTGGATATGATCAAACAAGTATCTGGGATTACAGAAATGTAAATTTTATCAAAATCCGATCAAAATTGGATGTTTGGTGGATTTTTGAAGTTGGTAACTTTTGTGGTTTTAATCCTTTTGAGTGGGTGTGGCGGGCGCAAATGTGGCCATGGAGTCAAACCTTCAGGGTTATAGTACACTCATGGGACCCTACCACACATCCAAAGCACATCAAGATCTGAGAGGGGCAGGTGGTGAAGCTCCCCTCCTGAGTAATTGTGTATATTATTCCCCCCATGGTTTTCGCCCCATTTAAAAATAAAGTGTTTACATATGTGCTGCCAATCCGGTAGAAGTTGGGGACCGTTCATAAATTATGTGACCCAAAAATCGACCTTCTTCAGACTCCTGTCACACGAATGTAACGCAAGACCACTACTATCCCCCCTTCCCCTCCCTCTGTGTAACGTAAAACAAGTCTCATTTTCCCCAAAAAAATGAAAGATTATATTTTTTAAGGTAAGACGTGCTCGACGTTCCGTGTTCTTTTTTATGTAATTACAAATTTGGGGTTTTCTAAACTTTCATAAAAATTTTACTTTAATTTTCCGAAATTTTCAAAGCGCGCGGTTTATTTCTTGCTGAATTTAGCCTGCGTAAACATGTTTTCATGACGTACGGCGAGACTCCGACCCCCTCGTTCCATCGTGTACCCCTCCCCTCTCTCATGACACATAATTTATGAACGGCCCCTTACTACATGTCAAATATCGAGTATGTACATATGTATTTATTTGACTATCTGATTTTTAAGAGTGTATGACAAAGATTATCGTCCAACTGATATCCCCACTTGGGGAAAAAATGTTGTATGTTTATAATAAATACTGGAGTACATATCTACTTTATTTGAATGTATGTTTGCATGTATTTATGCATGTATGGATCCGCACCTTTGTGCATACATATGTATGTTTCTCATGGATTGTATTGTATGCATGTACAATTAACCTCACTTGACACAAAAGCTTACATACTTTAAAACTTCTGTATGTATGTGCATATGTAAATACAGTCTAAATATGTAACTTCTCTACCCCAGAGAAATCGTAAATTCAGAGACAAATCATTACCCTCCGAGGTACTAAATACATATACATATGTATGTATTTAGGTAATTACTTATTATAAGGCAATTTGTTGTTACCGCAGTCAAATTATTGGAAAACGGATGCCATGCCATGTGTTAATACTTCCTTTTAAAAAATCTTGTCCATAGTCTTGTGTATTAAAAATGTTAGAAATATATGTCAAAAATACATACATACATTATGTACTATTTATTTCGTAAAATTTTGCCGGTTTGTTACATTAATTTCATATATTTAAACATGTACAAATTATAATTGTAAAGTTGTGCACACAAATAATACTACAGGGGGACTTAATTAAAGGTGATAAATAACCAATAATTATGTACGTATGTATCTCCTTGAACAATCTCGTTTTAAACGTTGGGTCGAATTTTGCACTCTATTTCGTGCTTGTTTCGATCCCGTAACGTGACGAAGTCGACCCCACACGTGGAACAGATGAATGCCGGAACCCCCACGTGCTTGGACGCCACGTGCCTGCAAATTAAGAACAGAATTCAGTCCTGTCTTAATATGTAAAGTATTTCGTAAAATGAATTATCGATTTGATACATTTTTACTGGGACAATTTACGCAACATTGTAAAATCCGTAAAATTTTAACTTACAAAGTTTTGTAAACTTACTCCCAATCAGATCAAAGACATGTCTGTTTTTTGTAAAATTATGTTACAAAATTTTTCGAGTTACAAATGACTGCGAAATTGAACCCACGTGACATCAAAAATCGAACCCACGTGACATTTGAAAAATCGGACCCAATTGAAAAAGGGACCCACGTGACAATTGAAAAATCGGACCCACGTGACATTTGAAAAATCGGACCCAATTGAAAAAGGGACCCACGTGACAATTGAAAAATCGGACCCACGTGACATTTGAAAAATCGGACCCAATTTAAAAAGGGACCCACGTGACAATTGAAAAATCGGACCTACGTGACAATTGAAAATCGGACCCACGTGACATTTCAAAAATCGAACCCACGTGACATTTCTTAAATGAAACCCACTCACATGCCGAGGTTGCTCGAACTTGCGAAAATTTTTGTACAGCCGACCACGATACAAGGGTGGAGTTTGACGTAGAGCTTTTTGAGTAAAGCGGCGGGATGGATGACGCCGCAGATGGTGGCCTCATGCGCGGCGCAGTGTCGCGCGGAGGACAACGCTTTTCCGCAGACGGAGCACGGGTAGCGAATCTTCTCGTGGAAGGAACGCACGTGTTCGGCCAGTTGGAAGCGGTAGGGAAAGCCGCGCTCGCACTGGAGACATTTGTGCTTTGCGACGATGGGGCGGCTGGGCGCGCGGTGGTTTCGTCGATGCACCGGCGAGGTTGTGACGACAGGGCTGCAAAAATTGCAAAATTAGTATAAATTGCGAAATTTTAGTTGCAAATTGTCAAGTTTTACTGAAATTTGAAATAGAAATGTAAAAAGTGGATAATTTATTTCAAGCTCTTGCCCATAATGGGACAACTTTTCCAAATAAAGCGTATAGCGCAAAATGGCGCAAATTTAAAAATTACTGCAAAATTTTGCGAAATTGAATGAAGACACGACTGGGTTTTAAAATTTGTGAAATCATATTTTGCGAATATTTATCCAAAAGTTTGTATATAGTAAATTGACAAATGAAATGTGACGTATTGAGGAAGGTGAGATTTTTGTAAATTTTTGCAAATATAGTGAAGATTTGACATGTCGTCGAAGCTTGCGAATTAATTCGATTAAGCTAATTATGTAAATTACATACCTGGCCGGTTGAAATGTGGGCATAACTTCGACGTCTTCATACTCCATGAAATTGGTGTCGTTATCATCGTCGTCATTCAGGTCGCTGGAGTCATCGATGGCGTCACTTTCTGCGAAAATGTCGCCGTTCTTGGCGCCACCCACGAAAATGCTGTCCACCACGTCGACAGCGTCCATACCGTAGGAGGATGAGCTCGTCTCGATCTTAACGCAGGGCGTGAGGGCCGTGGTGGTGGTGGGGGACGTGTCGTCGTGGTCTTCATGGGCGTAATTTTCTGCACGGTTGGAATTGCGAGTGGTTTGATCTGAAATATCAAAATTCTTCCTTGATAAATTTGCTAAGTTTGCAAGTAAAATTTGCAAGCAATATGTACATATAACATTAAGGTGAATTCATATCGGACTTTGTCAAACTGGTATTGATAAGTAATTTTGAATTTTGATAAGTGCCAGATTTCTAAATGTACACAAAAATGCAAATTTGAAAAAAATGGTAAATTTGCAACGAGATTTAATTTCGCAAAATATTTGCAGAAGGACACGAAAATTCTTTTTTTGCGGCGAATCCGCATGCGGAATTCGTCGAAACGAAATGATTTCGCGAAATGAAACTCATTTCACGAAATTGTGAATATCCAATTAGTAGGGAAGAATTACGTGACTTGCTAAAATTTAAAACCTGTGTTTATTTGATTTGGGTTTTAAATTAAATAGATAATTGCATAAGTAATTTAACTAATTTTACGTACCATTAGTGAAATCGTCGTCTTTAATTTTAACGGTCTCATGGTGAAGTGGTGTCTTTACTGGATTTTGTTGTTTTCTGCAGGCTGAAATTTTATAGAAAATAAAATTTGTACACAATTAAGCAAAATTTTAAAGCGTAATTAATTATGTAAATTTAAGTACCTCTCCGTTTCTTTAGAATTGCAGTGATTTGTTGTTTGACTGTGATAATTGCGAGGTTTAGATGCCACACTTTTCTCACCTCGTGAAGACAAGTTGGACACGATTTTGCGTAGTTTTTTTCTTCCGTATCGCCAATTTCTTGGAGGAATTTTTTGCACAGAGAGATCTTTTTCGCGAGAAGGGGGGACGGGGAGGAAGGGTTTTGAAGTAAAGATTCGCACAAGAAGCAATAATTGTGGGCTTTATCCAGACCTGGGTTTTGATTTATTAGCAAAATTTATTTTGTGTGAAAATATTTGCAAATTTTGTACTTTTTGAAATACTTACTTGCTTTTTCCATACCGGAGTTTTGATAGCGACCTATTTACACGTTAGGAATATTTATTTCTGGTGGAAATATTTTAAAATTTTGTATTTTTAAAAATATGTACATACTTTCAGGAGAATTTTCGCTGTGTAAATTAACCGTTTCCATTTTCGCAATAAAGTGGCGATGTTTCCACTCTGCAAAAAAAGTGGAAATTTATTTATTGGTTCTATTCATTTAGAAAGGTGATATACTTGTAAAATTTATTCTCTGCGTTTTAAATAAATAGTTTTTGAATTTACAAAAACTTGAGTGGAAAATAAAGAGATTTTTTGAGAAATTACTTACTTTAAGATAACTTTGTATCCTGTAATGAGAGCAGGGTATACACTCGGTGTTAAATTTTACCTCAATTAATTTAACACGTGAGTGTGATATTTAAAATTGTAATTTTAAATTTTAAATATACAAATTTATCCAAAGTTGAGTTTTGTTGTTTTGACGAGCAGATGGTAGTGGAATGAGAGTGAGCTTTGCCGGTTTTTGTGCAAGTTGAGACTGACTTTTTATGATGTGGCTCAACTTAGCCGCCAGCAGACTCAAGATAGCACGCAGCCGCTCATCCGTCAATTTAGCCGCCAGCAGCCAGCCGCCATCAATTTGGCAGCCAGCCGCCAGCAAAAAATTCTCAAATTTCCCCAAATTAAAAATCTCAAATTACCCCAAATTAAAAATCTCAAAGTACCCCAAATTAAAAATCTCAAATTACCCCAAATTAAAAATCTCAAACTACCCCAGTACTTAAAACTATCAGCCTTATCTCACTTTCCCCGATGGCAGAAAATTTTTAGGGGTGACATGAGATTTCTAGTCTCTACCTAAAGGGCTAGCTAGGATTTCTATCTAGGATTGCTAGCTAGGACTTCTAACTAGGAATGCTACCTAGAGGTTGAGGTCTAGCCTTCTGGACCACTTTTTTTTGTGGTCCAGAAGGGTTGAATTCTTACGGATTCTATCCTTCTGGACCACTTTTTTATTGCATTGATGCACTTTTCAGACTTTCAGGAAATTTCTAGGACACACGGTACGCAAATTTCTAGGACACACGGTACGCAAATTACTAGGACACACGGTACGCAAATTTCTAGGACCCACGGTACGCAAATTTCTAGGACACACGTGTATACGCAAATTTAACCTAACCTGCTCGCTTCGCTCGCTAATAAAGAACGAACCCCAATTTGGGGAGTAGAATTTCGAGGAAAAAATTTTCGAAAATTTTTCCAAGTTTTTTTCCGTGAAAAAATAAAAGTACTGCTAGCTAGGACTGCTACCTAGGATTGCTACCTAGGACTTCTAGCTAGGAATGTTAGCTAGGATTGCTAACTAGGACTGCTAGCTAGGATTGCTAGCTAGGAATGTTAGCTAGGATTGCTAGCTAGGATTGCAAGCTAGGACTGATACCTAGGACTGCTAGCTAGAATAGCAACGCTTTCCGCGTACCTAGTAAAACTAACCTAACCTTGCTCGCTTCGCTCGCTTAAAAACGAACAATACCACAATATTTGGCACAATTATAATAATCGATGACCTACTTTACCCCAATAATATTATTTGACACAAAAAATTTCCCGCCGTGGGGGAAAGTGAGATAAGGCCGAGATTTTTAAGTATTGGGGTAATTTGAGATTTTTAATTTAGAGTAATCTGAGATTTTTAATGATTTGGGGTAATTTGAGATTTTAATTATTTGGGGTAATATAATATTTTTAATTATTTGGGGTAATTTGAGATTTTCATTTTGGGGTAATGTGAGATTTTTAATTTGGGGTAATTTGATAAGTTTAATTTGGGGAAATTTGAGAATTTTTTGCTGGCGGCTGGCTGCCAAATTGATGGCGGCTGGCTGCTGGCGGCTAAATTGACGGATGAGCGGCTGGCTTCTATCTTGAGTTCGGCTGGCGGCCATCTTGACGGCGGCTGGCGGCTAAATAGCTGCACGTCTTTTTATGGAATTGAGTGAAGCTGGATGCATATTTGCATTCAATGAATAGAAAAAAAATCATGTAATAAATCCAGTAATATTTATAATTTTAATTTATATTAAAATTCGTAATGCTAATTAATCAACCTTAATTTATATATTGCATGATTTTTTCTTAAGCTATTACATATTTTAAAATTTTCATGCAGACTTTTAATTAAATTTTTAACTACAATTTTAGCCCGAAGGGAATTAATTTTTAGTGGACGCTACAGAAATAAATTATTTCGGGATGAAATTAGAATTTCAAAATTTCCAGGTTTGGCTTTATCACTCTAGAAAAAAAATCATGGATAACATTATTTTACAATCAACATCCAATTTTATTTTAGTTAAATAGTTTTTGAGTGAAATTCGGATTTCGAAATTTAAGGTGTATTATCAAACCAAATTATCTTTTTTATGATATTTCGCCTCAAATTAAATAATTAATTAGTTAACAGTAAATTTTTTTCGGGAGAAATTCGAATTTCAAAATTTAAGGCGTATTCTCGACGCAAATTCCTTTTTGTGTAAAGTCTCCCTCGTCCAGTTGACATATCAAACCACCCCCACATTTGACCGGGCGTTCCACGATGACCCGATCCGTCCCGCCGTACGTTGGGCTGAATCCCTCCCACGAGAGGAGAATTTTCCCGCACAAAGCGCCCGCCTGTGCGCGACAGCCCGCCCCAAGCTCGTAAACTAAGGAGCTATCCGCGCACGCGCAGCGGCCCTCGATGCAGTACAGCCCTTCGTAAATGTTGCATTCCCGCTCGATGCTTTCCAAGTCGCACGTAACCCCGACATCGAAGCGACATTCTCCCAGCGGGGTGGGCAGCGAGCCTGAAAATTAAATTATGGAATTTAGAAAAGCAGGAGGGTTTAAAATTTTTCGACAATTACAATTTTAAAGTAAAATAAAATTTAAAATTTAACATTTAAAATCAATAAAATTTTTCAAGAAGAGGCAAGAAATTACGTTTTTGAACTATATGTAAACAAAAAAATTTATTAAGATTGGATTTTTTGTGATAATTTAAATTTGTCGTTTTCAAGAAGAATTGAGGACTTGAAATTTATTGACCGAATTTGGATTATACGAAAGTTAATCCAAAAATCTGAATTTCTTACCCGGGCTACACGTGCACGTTTTCGTGATTGTATTGCAAAACGAATTTTTGACACATTCCTCATCATATTCGCAACTTCCGGAAACGATCGTCTGGCATGACCGGAGATCGTAATCCTTTCTTTTGTAAATTGCATCCCGACACTCGCACCGGTCATCGGAACAGTAGAAATTTGGCGGACAGGTTGAATTATCCGAGTAGCAGGAATCCCAAGGTCGGGGAAAAGGCGTGGTCGTTTCGCCGGGCGTCGACGCCCTGGGCGTTGTCGTCGTCACGCCGGGCGTCGTGGTCCCGCCGGGAGTGGTCGTCGTCACGCCGGGTGTGGTCGTCGACGTTAGTTGTCCAAATGCAAAATTGTGGGAGCAGATTGTCCAAAAAAGTAGGAACCAGATGGGATTGAAATTTATTCTAGAAGATAAATTGGGCCGCATTTTGAAGTTTTTTAAGAAAAGTTTTTGGTATTTTGAAAATGAAATTTGCCGCAAACTGAGGAATAAAGAGTGGAGAATAATTCCTATTTATGTGTAGCGAACCATCCATTATGATAAGTTCTTATCTAGCATTGTTCTTAGTTTAATGTGATTTTAATGTTTGACACGACCCAATTATGTTTTTGGAGATGATTCAGCACATAGTTGCGTAATCAAATAATTTGAGTCACTTTTTTCAAATACGAATGAGTAATAGTTACATAAATACATAACTATACACTTAAAAATAAGTTTATAATCATATCAAGGCGATAATTTGTGACGGAATGAGGTCAAAATGACATCAGTCTGGTTTAAACGTTGCATTTGTACATATGTGTGTATGTACATACACCCTAAATAAAAATGTGTAAAATTAGTCAAGGTAGGTTGAATAAAAAATGAGGATGATACAACAATTGGGTAAAATTTATACAACGGGTGGATAAATTGTTCATAAGTATGTAGGATTAATTTTACCCAATTGTTGTAATCCTCTTTTTTATTCAACCTTGTGTAAAATTTGTCCAACGCTTGTATAAAATTCGCCCATAGGTTGTGTAAAATTTGTCAAATGGTTGTATAAAATTTGCCCATCGGTTGTATAAAATTTGCCCAACGGTTGTGTTAAATTTGCCCAACGCTTGTATAAAATTTGCCCAGAGGTTTTATAAAATTTTCCCAACGGTTGTGTTAAATTTGCCCAACGCTTGTATAAAATTTGCCCATCGGTAGTATAAAATTTGTCCAATGGTTGTATAAAATTTGCGCAACAGCTGTGTAAAAGTTGCCCAAACCGTTTTGTAAAATTGTAGAAATGTTTAATACATGTAGGGGAACGTGCATTGTGACGTTGTGATTCTTATTTATATGTCCTAAAAAAACGGATAATCTTACCCTTTACTTACATACATATGTCGATGCAATGCAGACATGCTACATTTCCGCAAATTTATGCAAATCCCGTATGAATAACCCTTCTCTGATTAGATTGAATAATGGGACGATCTTTACGTGCACTTTGGTCGATAATTGTCGGAACAAATGTCACACCTCAGCACGTCAGAACAAGATTCAATTCACTCTGGTTGTTCAGTTTTTACTCTACATCGTGGCCATAAAGTTTCTGATGACCATACAAAATTGTCCCACCCGCCCACAAAAGTTGCTGAAACTTTCTTGTTGCTGTGTTCTCGAATCTAATTTTTTCGGATAATATCCCCCACACGTTTATCTTCATTTGTGGAAAAAATTATAAAAATAACCGGACATTTGGATGAATGAGAAGGAGATTCATAAATTTCCTGAAAATTTTGGATTTCCTAAAATAGAGTAAAGTTGTGGATGAACCGAAAGTAAATATGGGATCAAATTCGTATGGGACGATCCACCAGACTCCTAGACATGATTTGGAATAAGATTTTAAAATGAATGTGCCGAAAACCTAGTACTTCGACAATGAAGGGTTAAGCAGTCCAAAATCTCATAGATCGATTTTAACAATTTTGGTAGGCTATCTTTCGTTTCGTTACCCAGCATTTTCTAAAACCAGTTTGCAGAGTCACTTCGCTTTCAGGGGTCCCAACAAAACACTTTTTTGGAGAAAAATATTCAACGTCCATATAATTTTTCCAACTTTTTTGAGGAAAACGGCAATTTGACCGCGAGAGAAAAATGTCGAATTATTTTGGTAACATATAAGACCTGAATCGATGGTCATCCTGTGATGAATCCTCACTATACGAGGTACCAAATTATGAAGAGAAACTGGGTTCACGAGAAGAAGCTGCCAAAAAAATGACTACCATTAACGGTTTGTATTTGGCTCTGCTATCGAAGCGCGAAGATACTGGACGTCATTTTAGTTGGTCATAACGTAGACCGACCCTTATACTCTAACCAAATCTTGTCAGTATACTTCGATACTATGGAGACTAAGCAACGTTTCCCAAATTCGAAAGAATTTCCGCATTGACAGGATGGATCACCAGCCCACAATTCAGATGCTCCTACTCTCTTTTTCGAGTAGAGGTGGTTTATTGTCTTTGGAAAAGTGGGTGCGGCTCCGGAACAGCCCGAAACTGAACCGAATAGAACATTTATGACCTAGACTCAAAATCCAGGCGTCCGACGAATCAGTTCCATGCGATTGTACTTCCTTGACTGAACATTTTCAAAAAACTTAAAACAAATTTCCCAAAATTCGTTTGGAAAATATGTCATAAATTTTCAGGATAAAATCCCAGGACATGCATGTTCGTCTGGAGGATACCCACAATACTGATGCATAACATGCCATAAAAGATTTGGTTAATAAAATTTGTTTCCTGCAAAAATAACAATTATTTCAACCTATAGTTCCCCTCATCAGAAACTTTATAGCCACGATGTATTTGCTTTGGTTTGGTTGGTAATTAATTCAATCCAATTAATTGACGCTTGGTCCTCTAAATAGTTAGTGGTTTATTTTACAAATGTTTGCCGAAGCATGACGCAAGAAGGTTTAAGGACAAATATTTAAATACTGATGAACATGTATTTATTATGTGTGCTTTGATTTTTCTCTGACTTTAACTTAAAACTAAAGTAGATGTAATTTCGAGTTGCAAAATCTAAAGCGTATTCTAAACGTAGATTCTCTTTTTATTGCATACTTCACGCTAGTGAATTAACAGTAAATAATTTTCGCAAGATTGAAATTCGGATTTCAAAATTTAAGGGGTATTTTCACTATTTTCCACACAAATTATCTTTTTTTTTGATAAATAAAAATACCTCAAATAAATACCTCAAATTAATTAATTAATTCACAGTAAATAATTTTTTGCTGGGAAAAATTTAGATTTCAAAATTTAAGGCGTATTCTCAACGCAAATTCCTTTTTCTGAAAAGTCTCCCTCGTCCAGTGGACACCTCAGACCACGCCCACATTTGACCGGGCGTTCCCTGATGAATCGATCCACGCCATTGTTATATTGGCTGAATCCCTCCCACGAGAGGAGAATTTTCCCGCACAAGGCGCCCACCTGTGCGCGACAGCCCGCCCCAAGCTCGTAAACTAAGGAGCTATCGGCGCACGCGCAACGTCCCTCGATGCAGTACAGCCCTTCGTAAAGGTTGCATTCCCGCTCGATGCTCTCAAAGTTGCAAGGGACCCCGACATCGAAGCGACACTCTCCCATCGGCGTGGGTAGAGAGCCTGAAAGTTAAATTATTTAATTTAGAACTTTGTGAACAACATTGTGGTTTAAGATTTGTGGAAAACGCGATTTTCAGGAAATTTTCAGTAACTGTTTTTCAAATAACGAACCTAAACTCTATAAATCCGATTTTTTGTAAGAATGTAAAATAATATTTAACAAATTATGATTACCAAAAAATTGTCTAATTTAGCGTTTTATTCAGAATTTTTTTTTAAAAAAAAACGTAGTTTAGAAAAAAAACGAAGTATATACTTCTTAAATGTTTAGTTCTACTAATCAGAATTTTTGAAATATTTAAAGTCTAACTCGAGGGATTAAAATTTGATTTTAGTTTAATTGAAATCAATTATTCCGGTTTTTTGTAATAATTTAAATTTACGAATGTTAAGAAGAATGGAGAGATTTAAATTTCTTTTTTAATTTTAACTGTAATTAAGGAAGCTTGATTTGAGCTGTGCGAATGAGACATTTATTATTTCTTAAATAGAAAATATGTACAATTAAAAGTTTCTGTAAGAAGAAATTTGTAATTATTTTCTTACCCGGGCGACACGTGCACGTCCGCGTGATTGTGTTACAAAACGAATTTTTCACGCATTCCTCGTCATACTCGCAGCTTCCGGAAACTATGGTCTGGCAGGACCGGAGATCGTGATCCTTTCTCTTGTAAATTGCATCCCGACACTCGCACCGGTCATCGGAACAGTAGAAATTTTGGGGACACGCGGAATTACTGGAGGAGCAGGAATCCCAGGCCCGCGGAAAAGGCCTGGTGGACTCTTGCGCAGACGCCAAATTTTGAGAGCAGATGACGCCCAAAATTAGAATCAAGATGGGAGTTAAGCCCATCCTTGAAAGTGGGACGAAAAACATTTTAATCTTGATGTGGTGTTTTCGAAATTGTTTTTGCAACGAAATTTGCAGCAGAGTGAGAACTATGTATGTATATGTAAATTGGAGAATCCGCCCTATTTATAGGGGTCCGTTCTTATCCACTCGGAATAACCATAGTTGGGACGCAAACCATGTTCAACCCAGATTATTTTTTTACGAACTTTGTTTTAAAGGACCAACTGTTTAAAAAGAACATTTGGTGCGGAACTTAAATACGCAGATGCGAAAATTTCGGCAAGTCCTTGGCGTCACAAGTTCGAGAAAATGCTAAGTTTTTAGGCGAAATCTGTGCAGCTCTTGCGCGTTTCGCGGACGGATTGTTGAATTTTTCGCATCTGCGCAAGTTCCAAGCTATTAAATGTTGTTAATAGCAGCTTAAGAGTTGCATTTCTAAACGAAGGTTGTCAAAAAATGCTCTGGACTGAATATGGCTTGCGCCCCAATTGTTAGTCTAAGGCATAGCATGACCCACTTATATACAACTTTTTTTCAGATAATTTGGGCAGATTTAGCCCATAAATCTTAAATCAAACGATCCGACTCGCTTTTTCTAACATAGGTATGTATAAATGGGAACTTTTTGCTTAATATTTACAATTTACAGATTACAGAGTTTGCTATTATTTACATAAGTGGGTGTAAATTTAACAAGAGTTAAATACGCATTTGCATACATATAAGTACAGTATAGGCGGGAAGTCTTTCCACCCTCATAATTTTTTCACTTAAGGCATTATATTTCTCGAGAAGCTTGAGGAAATGAACTGCAATTTTGCACAATTACTTATCAGGATGGAAGGTTTTCGGAACCATACTTTGGATAACGGCGTGGTACAGGAAACGACAGGGTGAAATTATATACAAAATTCCGACTGGAAAAAAGTCTTTCCACCTTTTGACATTTTCGTTTTTTTTGTGCAAATCTTAAAAACTTTCTTGAAAATTGTTCTCCACCCACCAGGGGATATACCATTCTTTGAAAAATAACGTTTGTATAATGCTCAACTTATTGCTTGTTATCAATATTAGCTCATAATGAGAGGAAATCGCCTTGTGACAGATCTTGGGCAAGACGTCGTAAAATTTCGTGAGGAGGGGTCTTGATACCAAGCAATTTATGATAAACTACTCGTGAAGAAGTACATAGTTGGCAGAATGGTCCAAAAGTACAAAAAAATTGGTACGGCGGCGAAATTCGTAGCTTATCGACGGCCAAGCATTACGGCCCCAAGGATCGATCACGCCATCCTCTTCTCAATTCAGCTAAACCCTCGGTTGCAGCACCAAAAACTAGCTGGAAACGAAGGAAGACTACAACCTTCAAGTTTCTGTGCGAACTGTAAAGAATTATGTAGAATAAGTTGGATTTAAAGACCCAGCAGTGCGGAAAAAACATTTATTTCCTAGGCCCATATGATCAGGGTTATGAAATTGGCTAAAAAGTATCGAAGTTGATACATTCAAGACTGGAAATGTATAATATGGAGCGACTATACCAAGACAAACTTGTTTGGTTCAGATCGGGTCACTCGGATAAGGAGATGACCAAGAGATACAGACAAATCTAAGTACCGTAAATAAACCATTAAGCATTGGGGTGGAAACCGAAAGGTATGGGCGTGAATGTCGTGGAAGAGCGTCGGAAATTCTGAGATAATCAAAGAATCATGGACCCCAACTACTGTTGCGACATTAGGGATTCGAATTTGATGGTGACGCAAGAAATTACCGTGTGGTGACAATTTTATTTTCAAACGGGATGGTGAATTTAAGCAGAGATCAAAGTTTTTGAGGAGTTGATTTACAACAAACGAGATTTAATTGTTGGATTGTACTCTAAAATCACCTGACGGAATGCTAATGAACATTTGTTGTCAATTGTGAAGCTAAAAATTTCGTACCAAAAATTATCAAACCCGAATGGACTGGGGATGCTGTTAAATTTGAATTGGAGAATTTAGACACTTCATGCACAATCTAAATTTTTGTGTTGACGGCTAGAGGTGTTATTGCCTTCCTAGAGGACCTGGGTGAACATTCCAAATGCCAATTTGACTATTCCATAAGAAACAAAAATTCAAAATGAATGTTGCATTAAACTTTAGTCTGGGTGGAAAGACTTTTTTCCAGTCGGAATTTTGTATATAATTTCACCCTGTCGTTTCCTGTGCCACGCCGTTATCCAAAGTATGGTTCTGAAAACCTTCCATCCTGATAAGTAATTGTGCAAAATTGCAGTTCATTTCCTCAAGCTTCTCGAGAAATACAACGCCTTAAGTGAAAAGATTATGAGGGTGGAAAGACTTCCCGCCTATACTGTAGGTATGTATGTGAGCTTATCTATGCAGATATGTCCATAATATTTGTAAGTGAATATTGTGTAGTGTGATAATTTGTGACAAAATGATACCAGTCACATTCCAACTTAAATATATGTATGCAGGAGTAAAGTCAAAAGTAACATGGTTACATACATATCTGTGATCAATTGTTTGCGTAAAGGTATAATCACTCAAAACAAAACGTTGTCAATATATGACTTAACCGCCTTGGTTACAATTGTGATTCCGAGTAGTAATGAATTTTTTCCGTCCGGTCATAACATTATAACTACCGGTATCAAAATCATCATAACTCGGATTCAACATTGTAACCAAGGTGGTTAAGTCATACATATATTGACACCAGCGGTGTTGATTCGACAAATTTTTATTTTGAGTGATCCTGTTTCTTGTAATCGAGCCGGAAAAATAGTTTTTATCGTCCAAAATAGAAAAATACTTATGTTGGTCCCCCAATGCGTTTAAATAGTTATGGGAAGAGCTAACTTTTTTAATAATCAATATTTTCGTAATTGAACTTCATATTCGTGATCCCCATGAATTTTTGAAAATTTTCATATGGATGTAATGCGCGTACCTTTGAACAATTTTAATTGGTTTTCCAAATTTTTTTTATATGAAAACGTAAATTATGTTAATTACCTGTACATATGTAGAGATTGCGCGAATTGAACTGTTCGTATTATCAACTTACTTCCTCAGGATTTATGGAGTCAAATTTTTTTGAAAATCTTTAGTTTCAAAGAAGTTGTTTCGGATTGCACTAAACCAGGGTTTTTCCCATTTCTTCCATTGTCCCCATTTCCCACCTGCATATTTATATAGGGTGGAAGGTAAAAGTGCATTTGTCCCGCTGCCCTGGTCAATTTGGCTTTAGTAATAGACACCCTACATATTTCCCATTGGTATCAAAACGTCTCGTTTATCGCTATTCGCTACCCAACAATAGAACACTAGTACAAAGTTCCGCTGGTGAATTTGTCCCCAAATTATTTATTTACAATGCGTCAAGGTTAATTTTTTTTGAACGAAGGTAAAAACTCGTAAGGGTGTTCTTGTAAGGAGAAATAAACCGTCGCAAACGCGCATACGGAAGTAGCTTCAGACGTACTTCACCCCAAACGGTCCCACCACAACTCGGGAACACTTAATTTCACTCTATTTCACCTATAGATTAATTTTTTGTAAAAATCTCATTTTGCCCCGACCACACCCCCTGGCGACGAGGGGGTGTGGAACAACTCGGGAACACTTAATTTCACTCTATTTCATCTATAGATTAATTTTTTATAAAAATCTCATTTTGCCCCAACCACACCCCTGGCGCCTAGGGGGTGTGGCAAAATCGGGGAAACACTCAATTTCACTTAATTTCACTTAATTTCATTTAATTTCACTCAATTTCACTTAATTTTACCCATAGAATAAATTGCATTAAAAATCTCATTTTGACCCAACCACACCCCCTGGGGCCGAGTGGGTGTGGCACAATCGGGGAAGCACTTAATTTCACTTAATTTCACTTAATTTCACTTAATTTCATTTAATTTCACTCAATTTCACCTAATTTTACCCATAGATTAAATTGCACTAAAAATCTCATTTTACCCCAACCACACCCCCTGGCGCCGAGGGGGTGTGGCACAACTCCGGAACACATAATTTTACTCTATTTCACCTATAGATTAAATTGCACTAAAAATCTCATTTTGCCCCGACCACACCCCCTGTCGCCAAAGGGGGTGTGGTCCGGTTGCCCCAAAAAGTTGATAGGATCCTCCCCCTGGGGTCCTATGTATGATGGCGAAAACCGATTTCGATTATCTCGATCCGTTCTCCTGATATCCTGCTGACAGACAGACGGACAGACAGACAGACAGACAGACAGACAGACAGACAAAGTCTTCACATAAAGTAGCTGAAGCTACTTAATAATTTCGAGTCGAGTTTATTACCTTAAAAAGAGGCTTTCAAATCTTCAACAATTAATTAAATACATATAGTGAGTCCCGATTTTATGCATATTTTAATGTCAAAATTATTCAAATTACATACTTGCATGAATACACTCTTCGAAATTCAGTATTAAAATAATACCAGGCGGTATTCATATGCATATGACTGTACTATTTAACGTGGAATTTATAAATAATGCCGTGTAGTAATAACCCGGTATTAAAGTTTTCTCTATAATATTGGTATCATTTTTTTACAAACCGTAAAATTTTAATACTAAGGAGTAATAAGCAACCTTAACACCGAGAAATCTTTACCTGCGTGACTCTACCGGATTTCTAACAATGCGGATTCTGTAGAATAAATTCTGTTAGTGCCTTAATTAATTACAAATAAAATACATTTTAAAGTAGTCCATTTTAACAATTTTGTTGTTTTCGTATTTATTAGAATATTTAAGGTGTATTTTCCACGCAAATTCCCCTCTGCTCAAAGTCTCCCTCCTTGAGTTGACACCGCAGCCCACGTGCACACTTGACAAAGTGTGGTGTGTACATGCGCTCAGCACCAGGCGAGAATGGCCAATAGGGGCGATACCTGGGTAGAATTTGGCCACACGTGGCGCCCTCTGTTGCGCGACATCCCGCCCCAAATTCGTAAATTAGGGAGCTATCTGAGCAGGCGCAGCGTCCCTCGAGACATTGCAGCCCTTCAAAAATGTTGCAGTCCTCATCCCGCGTAGGGTTGCAAGACGCCCCAAAATCGTAGTAGCAGTGACCCATCGGGCTGGGGAGGAAGCCTAGATTTCAACAATATTCAATTCATTCAATTCACTTTATTGCATAAATAGCCAGTAGCTCTTGCAAGTCACAATTACATAGTTAGTCAAATTTTTAGATTATAATAATTGAGATAGTAGTCAGGGGAGTAGAGGGAAAACCAGACTGTGGTGGTCGGTCTGGAAAACCTCTACCTGATCTGGGAAGGATGCCCAGATCACCATTCGGCCCTGACTACCTGAAAAACCCAGGCTCAACCAAAGAGTGACAGAGATTATAGGCGATTTACATGTGGGGAAAAATGGTGACATCCAAATGAGTAGGCGACGTGCTGGC